TCCGAGCCACATCGGCTCGTCGTTGTCGATTTGGTTAAGCCAACTTGTGCGACCCCGCCCCAAAAAATGGCCCTGCGCACAGCGGGAAGGATCGGAACCTGCTGTTGGCTTGACCTGTGACGCAGGCCTCACGGCGAGGGATGTCGTTGGCTTGACTGCCAACGCTGGCTTGACAGCGGCATCTGATCTGAATACCATTATTCCGACCTGCACGTCGGCAGAGGTCGGTGGTCACTGGTCAGATATTGGTTGGCCAAAAAGGAGGGAGCTTGGCTTGCTCTCCTAAAAAGCGGCTCTAGGGGCATTCGAACCCAGCATGCCATGATTCAGAACCACTGATCACTCCATGAGTACCAAGAAACACACTAACTACTCTGCCAATGCATCTTTCTGATCTTCCCTTCTCTTTGAAATGAAGTTCCACAATTTCCTTACAATTTCTTTGGAAATCTTCTCATTCCGTTGAAGTTTTTTTTTTTTTTTTCAAAATTTTGAACATGTGTAGCCTCTTTTTAATCATTCAGAGAGACCACAAAAACCAATTTTGAGATTGGTTTTTTTTGTCAACCTATTGGTTGAGCTGACCTGAGCTGACCCTTTGTCAAACAAGTTAATCGACCGATGTGGTCATGTCGCCATCATCATCTGGGTTTGCCATCGTCGGCTTGCTCGCGAGGGCACAAGCTTGTCAGCATAAAGGGAGCTGTCCCTCCCTGTATGACTCAGGGGTCATGACGCTGTCAACACCAGGCTAGTCGGCTGAGTTGACTTGACCCTTGAGTCATACAGGGCATGCCATTGTAGGGAAGACCAAGATTTGCCGTCAGCTTGCCTGCTGTGTCAAGTGCAAGGCAGGCAGGTCATCACTGACCTGCGCGGACTCAAATTTCACCCCCCTGTGGGGTTGACGTGGTCAAACAAAAAATATCGACCTGTGGTGTAAGGTTTCTGTCCAGCGGTTCTATTTTTTTTTATTTTTTTTCAAATATTTCGGACACATAGTGCAATTGGGCAGTATAAGTCCATATTTATGGGTTTAGACAGTATAAACCCATACTTATGGGTTTATTTGGTGGCTGCAAGTGCCTCACAACACATGTAACATGAGATCGACTGCATCATTTCAGATTTTTTTTAGAGATAAGACCGGAGCAGAGACACAAGAGTAAAGAAACAGAAAGAGAAGAAACTGTCTAATTAGTGAGAATATCGATTTGCATTGCTGCTTGGCAAGGGATGCATCGATGAGATTTGTATTTTTTCATCAATATGACTGATTGGGGACCATTGAATCCCTGTCGATAAGCTGAGAGTTGTCGGTCTATTCGTCGAAAGTATCGTCTTATTGTTACCAGCGGGCAAGATTGCCGTACCATCTCAAAGCGGGCCTTGTGATCGTTAAAGGTTTTGCAAACATGATTGTTTTTTCGATAAGCTTGTTTGATATACGACCAAAAAAGTTCAATTGGATTGAGTTCGCAGTGAAACTTGGGTAAAAAGAGGCAGACATGACCTGCTTCTTCAATCGTAGCTTGCAGTAGTGGTCGTTCGTTTGCAAAATCTGACTGGAGCAACATAATCTTGGACCAGCAACAAGAATTATTGGTATTGGCCTTGCTAGGGTTGTCCAAAGGCTCGATGGTTTCAGTTTCATTGTTGAGTTGGGCACTGGAGAGAGCCTCCCAAACACATTGAGCTTCCGACAAAAAAAAACCGTTGGCTTCAGCTTCTCTGATCAAGCGACTTGATCTTGCAATCGCGTCTTTTCGAATGCTAGATTGAGAGCATGAGTCGCACTTGAATTTCAAAGGAGGTTTACCGGAACGTTCCATTTCTTGGGTGTAATGTTGCCATAGACCTCTCTCCTGCAATATGGCTCGAACACCTTTGGGTTCACCTGCTTTTTTTGGATCTGGATGAGATGAATCATAACAAAAGGTCTGAATTTGACCGCGAAGATGAGAGGGTATAAACGGATCATCGGATAGTATGATGGTGTCTCGAAGCCGAGATTGCTTTCCAGCCGGATTGAGATTCATATTTTGAACCCTGAGAGCCGAGGGACCATAGGCTCCGTGAGCTGAGGAGCAATCAAAAACGAAAACCGCCTGTGCATCGGGGTGAAGGGCTTCAAAGATGGGAATTTCTTTTGATGAAACCTGATGGCACAATTGTTCCATATCCCACCACTTGTCACCGTTTGAACCAGGGTAAATGACGGTTGCGGCATCAGCTGAGGTGGGTTTCTTTGTATTAGATTGGGAAGATTGATAATGCTCCTCAGTGAGCTTCAATCAACCAGTCGACTCTAAGATAAAGTCAGATATATGAATCAACCGGCCAGCATTCTTTGAACGAAGTTCGGTTGTTCCAGGCAAGAGCCAGGCCAGTCGAGGTTTTTCCTTGGCATGTACCGTTGATTCGTCATGAAAGATGAAGACGGTTTCCTTTTGATCACCGAGGACGTCAGGATCGACTTCGCTTGCATACTCGAGGTTGTCTCCGCCATAAGTCCGAGAACGCTTTCGATACATATCAAAGTCTTCAATGTAATTCTTTCGAGCTTCGACTACATCAGGCCTTTCGTGTCCATCGTAATAGAGTGATTTGTGGTATTCTTGAGGACTGAATCCAAGTCGGCCCATCCAGCGAGTAGCAGTTGGTCGACTGATTGTTTTGTTGATTCCGAACTTGGGAAGTAGAGTGTTGCTAACATGTTCACAAAAGGAAAGTGGTGTGATCTAGATTCCATGTGTAGAAATATGAAATCAGTTCACAGCCAAAAGAAAATGTGCATTGTCTTGAGACTTACTTCACCCGGATTTTTAGATGCCACCCAAGCATAAAGAGCTTCACGGATCTTGATATCGTCCAGTATTGATTGATGATTGGAGTGGTTCCCAGATTGTGTAACAAAGAGTTCCTTGTGATTGAGTACATGTCGAGCTTGTTTGGAAATAATCCTTGATAGATAAATTCCACTCCTTGGTGCTAATAAAATTTCCCCAGGTTTTGGGGCACGTCGGATTGCAGATTTGGCAGTGGCAAGAGAAGCAGAAACACTGGTTGATTTGTTTTTGTTCAGGGTGAATTCATATCGCAACTGATTAAACTCGTGGAGATTTGCAATCATCGAATGGGGATACTTGAATTTGGGATTGTTCTTCAGCTTCTCTTTAGCTCTTGATGTAGCTGAGATGATTGCTGAATTGAGAGCTTCCCACCGTCCTCGAGAAACGGTTTCAGTATTTGAGCTTGATTTTAACTTCTTTGGCGCAGAAAGATATTGATTGATCTGGGTTTCAACACGGAGCTCTAAGCTTTCTTGAAGGATATTGGGGTCGACTAGAATAGGTTGTTCATCCACGACACTAGAAACTTCGAGAGGTGGATGTGCTGGCTTGGGAATCTCTTTTTGACGAATAATGAAACCTTCCATGATGTTATTGTTCTCTCCAAGTGCTTTTTTTTGTTTTTTGCATAGTCGTGTTTTGTTTGCCGAGGAAGCGGTCGAGGAACAAGTTTTCCGGAAGATGAAGACGGGTTGGCCACTGGCTTTTTATAGCCTTGTTTTCCGGTTTTAAGCTGACGTTTAGCAGGAAGCACTTCAGTTTTGTGATTGTTCGAGAAGATTGGCCAAAGGATCTCAAGAGGTTCGTCGTCATCTTCAACCATACTTTCTTCATCAGTTGTTATGTCGTCACGAGAAGCCTGCATGTACTGAAGCACGTCATTTGCTTCATCAAAATTTTCTATCTCGGTGTTATGATTAAAGTATATATCATCGTCGGGAAGGATTTCATTGGTGTTGGTGTTTTGATTGGCGACTTCAATGCTGTCTTTGTCAAGTGTGTTGTTGTTAGTATCAGAGCTGCTCGAAATAGAATCGGGTGTTACTTCAGATTTAGCATTTTCTGCTTCAAGCTTCCTTCTTTTTCGTTGGGCCTTAGCTGCTTGATTGACCGCCATCGTGGTAGAGGAGTGTGTTGTGTGTATAGGAGGGCTGGGTTAATAATATTTGACCAAGTTGGTCAAGATTTTTGCGGAGTAACTCAAATCCGCAGCAAGATTTCTCAATTTTTTTTTGTCAACATTTCGGACATGAAAAAAACTGTTACAGTGGATTGCCTTGCACAACTGTAGACAAAATTGTAATTCCCGCTCTTCACATCGATCTCGGCTTCTTCACTGAAGTTAAGCTGGGTGAGGTTAATGGCAGTGAAGCCAGCTTGGATCTTCTCTGCGACTTGGTTGTCACCCAGCGCGTCAAGGGGGTTCAACACCACCACCACACCTTGGATGTCACCGCTGCGATCTTTGCAGAGCAGGTCAAGATACAGCTCTGGAATTCGAGATTTCCCAAACCCGGTCGCCGCCAGCAAGAACGTGTTTCGTCCGCGGATCAGACTTGCAACGGTTTCTACCTGGCGTGGTTTGCACGGTTGATTGTACTTTTTCAAGCCTTGTCTCTCGATCAGTCCCTTCAGCTCGTCCTCGTTACACGCCTGTGTTTTCTTAGGTACCTCCATCTCGTCTATTCTGGGTATGGCGATTAGGGCAGTTCACGTTGCACCAAAAATCCCGCTGATGTGGCACAAGGTTTGTTTGCTGATGCACAAACTTTGTGAACTTTAATTGTGGGATTTCGACTCCAAAGGGGAGTCTCCCACTAAACCCTGTTACTTTCCCATAAACCTTAAGATAGGGATTCTAACAAGGTTTGACTGCTGATGGTCAACATCAGCAGAACGTGAACTGCCCTATTAGGCCGGTTCACGTCTGAAGTTCAAGGCAACTTTTAGCACTTTTATGCATAAAATTTTACAAATTTTGTCAAATCTCATGAATCATCAGGTTGGAAGGAATTTGAGATTTTTGACAAACTTGGAAAATTTTAATGATAAATGCTATAAAACTTGCTCCAAAGTTCAGACGTGAACCGTCCTATTAGGTTGTTGCTGATCAGTTGGATTAATTGTGACTGAAGGAGTACGACTCATGAGATAGGATCATGGCCATTCATCCTGGTGTCAGTAATGTATTCATGCATGGATTTCTCTCGGAAAATCACAATTCGCTGTTTGCATCCTTGTGGATCCTTGCAGATACTTTTTTGTGTATTGTTAGAATGCATGTCAATCAATCGTCAGGCTAATCCATATTGTTACTGTCTGTAGGAATCATTTCTTTGACATTTGGGAGCTCAATTTTAATAATGATGAGTGTGAAGAACACCCAAGACATGTAGAATTTTATTCTCCACAATTCTGTCTGTTCAGTTTTTCTGAAGTGTTGATCAATAAATTTTCAATTGAATATAAGTAGCTTTTGGCTTGAAAATCCTTTCTGCTCCAGCCAGAATTTTGACTTGACTCATAAGCCTCTCCTACGGAGAGCGTCCCGCGGGGACGCGGGGTCCCTTCGGGACCCTCCGTTCGAGAGGCTTGGTTAAGCTCGAGAGTGGTCCGAGATTGCATTCCCCACAACAAACCCAAACCAAACAAGCCCCTTTACATAAATATCCAGCACCCTCAACGATCAAACATTCTGACAATCTGAGTACGGTCAACTACCTGGTTCTCGATCAGTCGACTAACATTTGGAAAGATGAGGTATAGCAATCACACCCCTTTCTTCAACTCTTCAGTTAATACTGCTTGTTGACTGGTAGTTGTTCTCGGTCAGTTACGCCTCCGTACTAGCTGAAAACGCGCCTCCAGTCGAAGAGCAGCCCAAGCCTGATCCGAACCTCTTGGAGGGTCAGGGTGATCATCATCCTACCGAACATGAGAATGAGAAACAACCGGGAGACAATGATGGTATATTGGCTCGACTGATTGCTAAACATCTGGCTCGTTCGGATTGCTACACATATATACTAGACTGACTTTTGTAAACCCTCACCCACTTGTTTGTCTCTAGGTGATGAGCATCATTCGAACGACGACCGCCCTTCATCGGGAAAGAAGGAAGATCAGATCAAGCAAAAGGCAAAGAGAGCGGCGAAAGAAGGAAAGAAGCCGATGAGCGATCCACAAAACCAAGTTGGAGCGATCAGTCTGGTTAATGTCATCACTCTGAGTGCTACCGCTCTGTTTGCCCTCAAGTACTGGAATAAGCCGCACTGGGATAAACGGGTCGTTAGTGGAGTCATCGTCGGAGTTAGCGCGATTTTGGGCGGTCAAGGGTGAAGCCATTTCCTTTTCATCTTGGAGGGCTGGACTTCTGAATAGTCACTGATATTACCCTCTCTCGACTTGTTTTTCCTTTTTCTGATACCAGATATCTGGTCAACCTGTTTTCGAATTTCCAAAAGAAACAATGAAGTAAGTCCTGAGCTTGGAAGCTTCCCATGTCCCAAACCTATGATGCAGACAAGATTTATATCCTTCATGATTTTATCTTTGTAGATTACCATTGATCGCAGCCGAAGATTTCATGAGGTTTATAACACTAAAAGTATCAAATGTAGTCCAAAAAGTATTTTTATATCTGAAAAAAAAATAATCGAGTATGTATATTTTGCCTTGGTGATAGGAATCTTCCAAGCCGAAAGAAACATGGAGCTTGAGATAGGAGCTGTATTCCTGGAACAAGAGTTGGAATGCTTTGTATGGTTCATGAAAGGAAACGTTTTGTTGATTGTGTTTGCCACAAGCTAAGGGCCTCAAATTGGATGCAGCAACACAGATGACAAAACGTTTTTGTCTCATAGTGAGCAAAATATCACAGATCATATATGTGTGCTCTAAAAACTGCATCAAAAGTAATTTTGTTCTCTTCTCAATCCACAAAGAAATTGTGCATCAAAGTTAAGAATTAATCTGATTCTTCAATCTTAGCCCTCATCTCATCTCCCTTCTAAATGAGTTCATTATAGAGCTAGAGCGAGGAAACATGGGCAATTATGAAGATGGATGACTTTTCATTTTGAGTTTAAAGTTTGTTTCCAAAAGTAGTTAACCCAACAGGATATATACCAAGTTTTTATCAAGACTCCACCTCCATAGTTAATCATGGTACTGCTAGTCTGCATTGGATGGCCAGTGAGATGGGTACACGTATTGATAAAAACTCACTGATCAACAATACACAACTTCAAGTATTTAGATTGCTGGCAAGGATAACAATCAAAACAATCCCTACAGGTTGGAACATTGACCCAGTCAAGAGAATTTTGAAGCTCTGTGCATGAAAAAACTTTTTTAATTTTGTTGGTTGCTTTCCTTTTTGTCAATCAATCATCTATTTCATAAACACAAGGAGAAACTAAGAAAGAAAGAAAAAAAACAATCAAGGTTTCTATTGTTATTAGTGGTGAAAACTTGACAAAAGTGATAAAGTCAGTTAGATTTCGACTTGGCTCCTTTGCGGTTTTTGGTCTGCTGAGGTTTGAGAGCTTCGGAGGATTCCGGATTGGATGTTTCGTTATCGTTTCCATCTGATTCAGCCCCATCTTGGGTGCCCGAGTTCCCGGCTGGAGAGGTGCTGTCGACTGTAGACACGCCGAGGACCCGGGAAATCATGGCGGGTATGAAGGTTCTTTGGAACGCAGGTTTAGCAGCAGCTGATTCCACAAGCGGCAATTCTAAAGCAGATCACAGAGTCAGTCGTATCCTAAGGATTGCTCTCCTATTTTCGTTTCTTGGTCACGTACCTGAACCATCGTCGGCGACGATCCAGACATCATCACCTTCAACAACCATGTCAATCCACCCCGGATTACTGGGCTTGTCCACCTTAGAACCGGTGACTTGCTGCATTCTTCGCCGTTCTTGTCGACTCTTAGGCACCGGCATCTCCGATTCGTCGCCATTCCCTTCTTGCTCATTGCTTAAACTTTTGCTGATCGAGATCTTCACTTTCTTTCGGCCTTGCGACTTGGATCCAGCATTGGATTTTTCTCCTTTCTTGTAGGCAGCTTGGCGAGCAGCAAATTGAAATCTTGATATCAATGATCCAATCAGTTATCAAATTAATCGTTTCAATTGTTTCAGGACGATAGAAGAGAGAGAAAGAGAGTTTTATAGGGTCAAGTAGACTCACTTTTGTATTCTTGCTATTTCTGAACGATAGTTTACGTGTTGGGCACCATATTGCATCAGAGTCGCTACCAATAACACAAATGAAACAGCAAATCCGAGTCCGGGTTGCCATCGAGAGTACATATCTGTGCAAAACAAACACTTTGGCTTAGCTCGGCTACATAATTCCCTGTTTTTTTTTATATTTGGTTCTGGAAATAAGAAGTACTGACATCCTGTTCCTTTCCATCTCGGAACACCATTGTCATGGAAAAAGTTATACCGTTTCCTCTTCTCTTCGTCCCTCAAAATCGCAGTGATTAAACCTAATCGAGAGAACTTGGCTTCGATCGTTTTGTTTCCCGGATGTTTGTCTGGACTGAAGTATTGTTGTTGTAGAGGAAAAAAAAAAAAATGTGATGAAATCAATAAAATTGGTCGTGTGTAATAAAGAAGGGATGGACTGAGGTAGACTGACTGTATGGACAGAGATAGTTTTCGGGCAGCTTTGTTGATTTCATTGAGGGTCGCACTCTTGGGTACATTCAAAAATTTATCTGAAGCCTTCATTACGTCAGTCAACAGATCGGAACCGAAAACATGTCTGGGGAGTACTAACAAAACGTCATGCCCTTTCCTTCCGCAGCTTCTAGCGCGCTCACGAGATCGAAGATTTCACTATCAGAGTACACCCAAACATCAAATTGATAGTTAGGAAAGATAACATTTGCTGTCTTTTCTGGGTCTAAACAGCGGAAAGATTTGCTTACTGATCTTCTGCATCCCATGCTCGAACACTGGATTATATCAGTGGCGCAGGCCAGATGGATTCATTTCAGTGAATGCATTTCAAAGCTATCATACGGGGTTTTTTTTTTTTGGAATCTTCTGGGAAAAAAAGACCGACCAGCTGGAAGCAAGTAAGGCGAGACCCAGGAAGCACCACAATAGGCAAATTCGACCAATCATTTTTTTTCTGGACCAGGGGAGGTAAGGAATTTATGGCTAGTAGCCCGGTGGACCTGGAAAAAGTTGGCTGCTTGAAAATGTAAAAATATGTAAACAGTCAGTTGGCTAGCGGAGGAGATGATGGAGTTGATGGGAGAGAGGGAAAGTGAGTGGGAAGTTACAGACCTTCGACCGATTTCTGTTGCGCACCAACGTGTCCGAATTGCCACCTCAACCGAACTCGGTCTCCGGAGGCGTCTCAACCCAACTCTGCAGCCTCGGTGATCGGCCGGCAGATGTGTGTTTTCCCGGTGACAGGTTCAAGGTCGCTGAAATCCTTGCCCTGTCACAGCTACTTCCACTTTCAACACTACCTCATATCCAGTACTGGATATGGAGTAAAAAAAAACTGGATATTCAGTGTTTTTTTTAAAAAAAAAAAAATGGTGTGAAGAGGTGAACAAAAAAAATATAAAAATACTAGCAATCTTGACATCTGTTTTTCGAATTGCTTTGCCACATATGTATGTAACTATGTATTCCAGAAGCTAAGGATACATAGGATCTTGTGTCAAGGGAACCATTGTGTGCATTTCATGCACCCTCAATTAAGCTCATCACATTTTGAATAGAAACTGTCAATAGACAATGATTCATTTAAAAGATCAGAAAAAGCTTGGGTGGAAATTAAATGCACTTCTGGATGACTTCCTGTCACAATCTAGGACCCTCCCAGAAGTTGATTTACACCCCTTAGAGCAGTTCCACCACGGCCCCTACTGCCGGGCCGTAAAATCTTGATGATTGGGTCCACGCAGCCAGTTTTACATTCTCAAACTGCTGTGGCATACACCGCAACTTGGTGGAGCGGTTTGTAAAAGTTGATGACAGGTGTACTGTCAAGGGTGGTGTTGTGTGTGAGGGTTGAGTTTCACACGTTGTTGTTGTGTGAAAGTGTTGTTTGGAGGCCGTAGGTGAGTCCCTACATGTGAGGACTTGCGAGGAGAATTTACGGACTGCCGTAGATTTTAGCAACTGCGGTGGGTTGTGTTGAGTCCATAAATTCCACCTACAGACCCGATTTACGGCCCGCGGTGGAGTTGCTCTTAGACAACGCTGGGCCAGCTACGCTAACAGTAGTGTTGGCCTAGCGTAGTGTAGCGCAAATACACTACATTGTAGCGTAGTGTTAGCACAGATTTCTGTATCTGCGCTAATGCTACGTGTGTGGGCCGCAAAAAAGGGCCCACTATGCTGCGCTACAGCACATTTTAGCGGTTTTTTGGCCTTTTTGCCGCCAAAAGCGCTGTAGCGTAGTGGCACTAACACTACAAGTTTGGCGCGCTGTTTACGCTAACATTAGTGGGCTGTTTAGCATAGTGTAGCGTAGCGGCGCACCGTTGTCTTAGATCTAGATTTTTTTATTGATTTTTTTCCTGAAGCCTTCTGGCAATAGCTCTCACATGAGCTGGTTGGAATCTCAATTGTGTTCTTGATTGGAGACTGAGAGAGGTCTAAAAAGCACTCTAAATCGTGACGGCAAGTCCTCCACTATGCAGCTAGAAACATCATATTTACCCCCTAGAAGTCATAAATACACCTAGGGCGCACACCGACGTGGGCCGATACCGGTTTTTACCGTGGATCCCACGAGTGGCGCCCGCGGGAGTTTGGACCAGGACCTGACGGTCCTTAGTATTCCGTGGGCTCCACCATTCGGTCCACAGGTGCATCCCGAGATTGTCTTGTGGAGCCGACGAGGAAGCTTGCTGGGCCGCCGCTAAAGAATCGGCAGCGGCCCTAAAAAGGAGCACACATGGAGTCGAACTCCGGCAGTGAACCGAGGCCTGTTGATGTCTGAGTCCTAACGCAAAACTTCAGCCCACTGTCATACTCAAGATCGAAATAAATTATATTTTGATGACATCATTTGTGCTTGAACCTCAAAGTTCTCAAGCCTCTAAAATGATGTCATCGTGCATGAACCCTTTTCTATCTTTTCCGATTCCTTCCTCTTCCTTATCATCGCCCAACTCTTCTAAGATTCTTCCTCCCCTAGGACCTCATCATTTTTCCATCTCGGTTCCTCAATTGTTAAATCCTCATTCGACATAACTTTTCCTCATAAGATTATCCTGATTAAGACAAACATCTTCTCTCGTCTTATTAACTCATCCTTCCTCTTCCAACAAACTCCCCTTCGACAATCATCCTTTCTCGACACACTTTCTTCTCATCTTAATTGATCTCCTCGACTATCATTCCCTTTCTTTCGACACATCGCCGACCATCTTTTCTCTCCCTTCTTTCCAACATATCGCCGACCATCTCTTTCTAAAAAGAAACCTGTCCTCTATTGTCGTAGGTTCTCATTTGGTTCTTTCTAATGCAATGTTCTTATATTGAACCACTTTCATTTGTTAGACCTA